GACAAAGAACAAACCGATTGCCAATTATAATTTTCTTTTGTTATTACACAAATTGACCCTTATCTTATGAGAATTTGACATGAATAACCAAACAAAAAATTATAATTGCCAATCTAACCAAAAGTCTCCTATGTGGCAAAATCATAGCCACTAGATTTAGGGTTTTTGGTTAGATTGCCAATTATAATTTTTTTTTTTGTTATTACACAAATTGACCCTTATCGTATCCGCATCCTTTGGTTTGATTCCGGAATCCGACTTACTCTTTTCATCTATCTTCTTTATTTTTCCATGGATTCACGAGAGCGGAAAGCCTGTGAGAAGCAGAACGAATCTGACGAGAGAAAAACAAAGGTTGAAGGAGAAACATCTAAGGAAAATCTCAATCCTATGGTATTCTGCTCTTCTTCTTCTTATACAATTTTGTATGGTTTTTGTTAAATAGGGTATAACTGGTTTTACAGCAGGTTGAAGAAGAACATGTTGCAGAACCGAAGAAGAAAAAACGCAATAAGATGGAGATCTCCTGATTCTAAGGTATTTTACTTTTTTTCTTACTCAGTCTTGTATGGTTTAACATTTTTGTACTATTGGAGATACGATCAAGTTTAACTATTTTTTCTCTAATGCAGAAAGTGAAGAAAATAGAGGAAGTTTTCAAGAGCCTGAAGGAACAACTTACTGCACTAAACGAACAATTGCTAACAATCGCAGACGGTTCCTATTCGATACTCAAGGTAGTACAAATTAAAGCTATTCATTTTCTATTGTTTTAACAACTATCAATGTATAACATTTTTTAATCTTTTGTTCAACCAAACTCGGATTATGATTGTCTTATCTTGGACAAACAAGAATCCCGAGTTGATCTCTGAACCTCTCTCTCAACTATACGGTATACTGGTAAGCTATCTCGAAATCTAATTTCACTTCCGTTTTACGTTACCATGATTTTAAGAGAGTCGGTTGGTCTCTTTGATGTCTTAGAAGAGAAGAATGAGAGACTATTAATTGCAATGAAAAATTAAGTGTAGTGATTATAATATTGATGAAAATGTTACAATAAAATTCTAATAAATCTCAAGGCTTAAACGACTAAAACTAACTTACACAAGTTTTTACAGGTTCCTTTATTCACATCTGAAACCAAGAGACAATATTTGTTTAAAAATCCTTCAAATTTCTCATTTTGAACTAGTTATGCACTCTCTTTGTTTCCTTTGTGTGATTCGCATTCATATCTCTATAATTGTTTGTTAATTTTTTGGACATTAGGTGATTGCTGGTCTCATGCTTTTCACAAAAGCATACATGCCATTGTGAAAAAACTAGGACTTAACATAAAGATACCCACTGCATTTGAACTAGTCCGAGAGATTGATCAGATGTTTTTGAAAGAATACAAGTCACTGCCCAAGACAAGTGACGCTGTCTCATTTCTGCAGGAGAAGTATGGCATCAGAATGGTCGTGTATCATCGTCCAAAAGTGGACAATGAAGAGGAGAATGCGCATTTTGAGAAATTCATCGAGCAACGCCTAGCAATAGCTCCCGTGGCTGTCTGTTTCAAATATGTGCTAGGTTACACCGTGTTCCGTGATGATAACAAAGTAAGTGTCTCTAATCTTTATCCAAATATCTATTTATATGTTCGGTCCGGGTCTAAAACATTGACTAAATGATACAAACTTGATATTTTCAGGCAGTTTTTTGTCCTAGTGCCACTGATTTGCTTGTAATGCGCTATGAGGTCATAGAGGGCCATTATGCCGTCATTATAGGTCGAGGAGTGGTCATGAAGGGTGGTGAGTCTATTGAATTTTTCGAGATCCAAGAAAGCAATGGAAGTCAATTTGGATACGGTGGTTTTACTCGCTTCCAACGCTACAAGAAACTTATCACAGATGTTTTTGAGTTCAAGGTAAGTTATAACTTTTTCCTTTCTTCTTCCAAAATAAACTTATTATTTTGGTTTTGCATATAAATTGACTTGGTTCCTTTTCTTGGTTGCAGTATTGATCTTCTGTTCTACTTTTGTGATGACTTTGGATCCTGATTTTTTGGTACAAAAC